GGCTACCAATGGCATTTTCAATTTTCATTGTGCTGTGCTCAAAAGCAATTTTCCAAATTCAGAAGAGCTCAAAGTTATTGCCCTGGATTCACTTTAGCAGGTGTAGTTTGCAGTGTTACCTAAGAGCCCAACCCATTTCCTCTTCTTTCCTGGAACGCGGCTGGACTACATGGCCAAGGCTCCCCAGCAGTCAGAATTGGTCTCATGACTGAGTTCTGGCCAATGGAATAGGAGCAGAAGTAAATTTAGGCTACTTCCAGGGCTAGCCAAAATCCCCATTCTACCTCTTCCATGGCGTTTTCTCCTCCACCAGCCTCTTGCTGATGGGCACATATTGAGTCATGTGTAAAAAATGGCAGAATCACAATATGGAAGGAGTCTGAGTCCCCAGATCACCAGTTGGAGGAGAGAAGCTAACTGATCATAAATATCTATTATGTATGTAATGAAAACAAAGGGCAAACTTAAACTGGGTTAAACCATTGATATTATCTGTTTCTGTTGCTAATATGATCTTAATCACTAAAGAAAGCAAGTTAACTTGAAGGGCATGTAAATAATTTAAACCTAATTAGAAATATTATCCCCCTTCAAATTTTGATCAGGTCCAATTACATATATGCCTGAAATTCTAAGCAAATCCATTATCTCTTGAATCTCATAAAATTTATATTACATAGACCATAGCAAGAGAGATGCTGGATGTCTTGCCTCCATTCCCCCAAAGCTCCTCCTTCCTCCCCACATTCCAGAGATCACTTATAAACTCTGTTATTTATATGCATCTTCCTTCAATCACTACTCTACACACAAAAAAAATCTTATTTTATCAACTCAGAAACTAGAAACCTAGAAACTAGAGCAAATTCTCCAAGAGAGGCATCCCCAGGCCTTACCCAGTCATTTATTACCCACTAATTTTATATCATGTGATTATTTCACATACATGATGCTATGGCCTGCTACACAATGGGCTGGCCTAGCACCCTACAGTCCAACACTTTTACAGATCTTCAAAACGATCAGTGTCATAAAGCTTATTTAGAATAATCAACAAAAGTCTCTACTTGTGAGCTGAGGATGAGGCTCTTTTGGTAGAATGCTGGCCCAGCACACATAAGGCCCTGGGTTCCATCTCTAGCACCACACAAAAAAGAAGATTCTATAGATTTGTCTGGACTCAGCTACTGAGGTTTTCAGAGTCCTGTACCCACTCAGTCATTGTCTCAGAATCACCAGGCCCTTCTAGCTTTCTGAAATTCACTGGACAAAGAAGTTTTAGTAGTATGAGAGCAAGTAATCTAGAGAGTCAAGCCAATTAGAAGCAAAAGCACAGAGAATGTAAGTTAGGCCACCCAGTCCAAAGGTTTTGCTGGGATCTGGGCAGAGGGAGCACCGACAGTTTCTACCTGGAAAGAGTTGAATAATTCATCTCTGCATCCCAAACCATACCCTAAAGTACTTATATATCATCACACACCACTCAGTAGTATAATTATAACCATTCACGTTATCCATCTTCCATGTTAGACCAGACTGTTCTCTGAAACCAAAGATTGTATATTATCCACCTAAATATAGCTGGATTGGTGATTTAAATATAATGGGTGCTCAGTTACTGCATGCTGAGTGAAAGACTATAAATTGACTATAGATTGTTAAAGGAGTATGACAGCATATAGCGATTCTTTGATTTGATAGAATCCATAATGCTCATTGTCACTTTTGTGAGACTAGCCCAATCACAGTTGATAATTTCCTCAGGGGCATCTCTTTTCCTCAGTAAGAATACTCCTGTGAAAGCATTAAACCACATCTGCTGACTTACACTCTAGAAGAAAATATAATGACCACCTTGAAAATCTCTCATTGTGTATGGAAAAAGTTATTGCATTCAAATCCCACTTTCCTAAACTGAGAAAGCTAGAATACTACAGTACTTTCTGTACCCTTTTAGCATATATTGTGTAAAACAGAACCGAATGCCCATAGATTTAGCAGATTTTAATATCTTTTTTAAAAAAGAGAGAGAAACAGACCATCTTCAGCCAACTTTTTATTGCCCTTAAAATGATTGTACTCATCATTTTACAAATAAGGGAAGAAAACACAACCAAACTAGTCTCACAATGACCATTTAGATAAAAGATGCATAATCAAAGAAAATCTGTCTTCATACCAATGGGGTTCTGCTACTGGCGATAAGAATGTTGTTGTGTGAAGCAATCATATATTCTTCCATAATTTAAAAAGCAATCAAGGCATTATGTTTAAAATATCAAGGGAGAAGTCTATCAAATGCTACATGATTATAGAAATACTGATTGAATAAATGTACTTAGGAATAGGATAATCTAAATGATGAAAGTTAATCTAAAGGTCAGTAGCCCAAACCATAAAGACTCCGTATTTTCTGACTGTGAAATTCTTTAAAAAAAGTCAAGCCTCCCCATTTCTCTGGCATGAGCATAACCTGTCTGCCAAGAAATGACCCCTCGTTGCTTCTTAGTAATGCTTCAGGGCTAAATAAGATAAAATTTATGTGCTATGCTTTAAGCTTCATTGAGGCAAGGCACTAAATAAACTGCAGGATAATTTATAAATCCTGAGTTTGCATTAGTCATGTCCCAGTCCATCTCACAAAAGGAAAAAAATGGAAATAGGAGGCCAATGCTGAGCACGTGGTGAAAAGCTCAGCAATCTTTGGGCAATGGTGGTATGCCACTTTATATACAGAGAATCCTTGACTAATTGAGGCACATTTCACAAAATACTAAGTCCTTCCAATGCCCAGACAATAGTTCATTGGCAGAACATCTGGTATATGAATCAGGGAAGTATGTTATTGCACCTCTAGTCTGAGATCTAATATCTAATCTCCTTTTAATTTACCATAATTATTTTTGTAAAACTTCATGGCTCTCCTCCAGTGGATATGCTTAGTAAAGATTGCCAGAATCCTGTCTTCTTTTCAATGCCACATCCTTGGGCCAGTTTCTCCCTCACTTCCAGTTGCATTTTATCTTTTTCCCTCTACCATTTAATCAGTGTCTGTTTCTTTTAGCAATGTGTATTGGAGAGAAGGACAAGACGATTGTAATTTGAAGAGTTAAACACAAGCATTTGGAAATCCAATCCTTCTAGAAAATTGTTCTAGCTAGTAGAGATGATGCGGTATTCTACTTTCGGTTTGTTTTAATAATCATCATCCTATATGCCACTTTCAGTAACAAAGTTACATCAAGTCAAGTTAATTAGGACAAGGTAACTCTGCCATGCAGAAACTGTGAGAGCTTCAACTGATCACCAATTAGCTTTCCTGGACCAATGAGTGAGTTAATGATTTCTACTTCCAAAGTCATAATTCTACGCTTTTATCAAACACTTTCTCTGGCCTGCAGGAATGTGTTTATTTGGAGTTTGAAAAAGAAACCTAGAAGGAAAACACTATTCATATAAGCATGACAAACCTCAGCTAATTTTAAGTGCCCACATGTAGGGAAAAAAAGAGAATACTTTTCATGTCTAAACCAAGTCAGATGCTTACTCCAGATAAAAGGCACATATATTTCCAGCACCTTTGACCTAATGCTGTTTGTTTTTAGAAACTAAGGTCACATAAAGCCATGGCTAATAGGAGGTAAAGGTAGCTGCCCTTCACAAGTTTATCCATTTACAGAGGAGGAAGTCAAGGGGAAAATCACTCTCCTCTGACTAATGTAGTGTAATTGCCTCATGATGGCGCCCCCCAATTTTTCTCCCCTCAGAAGTTCCCATGGTTACAAAAGGACAAGGCACATACTTATATTTTTTTAAATGACAAGTCACAGGGATGCAAACCAAACTCCTGTGGTTAGTCTGAATTTGTCATTTTGCTTTTGAGAGTTTCCTATCAGCCCACTTAACCCTGCACCTCATACACAATGAATAATGGTTTGGGGGTGGGGAACGTCTATGTTAAGAAACAGAAAATTCCAGCTAACCACTTTAATGTCATTAGAATTTTACCTAACGCATGCACCCACGTGATAAGAGATAGAGGGGTTCACTTAAAAAAATAATGCTCTAAAGATCAAAGACATAGTACTGCTCTTTTGGACAGAATCTTTAAAAGACTTGAAGAGTAAAAATTATATTCCTTAGGTCTATGCAGGGAATTTTTAATTGAATCAATATATTCTAAATTTTCTTCAATCAAGCATTTTTAAAACAATTTTCTTCTAATGAGATGTAACATTAATAAAGGGGCATTTGTTCCCTCTTCAGTCCATTGTTTATCCCTTTGCACTAAAGGAAAATGAAAGCCACATGATCCTAATGGGAAATCAGAAAATCCTTCTGCTCATTGTAGAAGGAGCAGAATGCACACATGCAAGAGTCAGGAAACAAATGGGAGCTGGGACAAAGAACAGGGTCCAGCAGACAGCTCATCACCAAGGTTCATACAGACTAGAAAAACCTTTTGGACATTTCATCTCCTAGTTTCCCTGCTACATGACTAGGAGCTTGTACTTCTTCTGCAAAGATATATCTGAATGATGTATCCCCTTCTTTCCTATTTGATAAACTCAAATCCCTTAACCTAAGACTTTCTGCCATCTTTTTCCATGCTAACTTGCACAGAGCAATCAATGGCATCAGCCACAAGATGTAAGGCACATTTTCAGTCCAGTAGACTCCAAAGCTAAAGGCAAGAACTTCATTAAAAATTGTAAAATAGAGATCCAATGTATTTCTTACTTCACTATCTTAGAGCTAAGAAATATTGTGCAATGACTACCCATGAAATAAATCTAGCACTGTGTTCCACAGAGAGCAAGGCCTTCCAAGTGTCCATACACATGTCATCGTCTTTGAAGATTACACGTTAACTAGATTGAACATTTTCATGGTCACATTCTACTTAGGCACCCCGCAAAGCTATAGACTGAATTGGTATGTACCACCTAGCTGTGGCTAATACACTAAAATGGACAATAACAGCAATTCAGCAGACCACCTTTTAACAAAAGTAGCCTAGGGATTTATTTTTTGTTGGTTTTGTTTTCTCAAGAAACATACTTGGTTCATTTTATGTGTTCCTTTTTTTAAACCCCATGACTCTAAAAAGATATTGTTTAGATCTAAGCAAACTATCTATCCAAATAATGAACACGCATTAAAAACAAAAGTCCTCAGTGGAATACAAGCCTAAAGTAGTGGGTGATGAGTACTCAGTGCCACCTCTGCTGGCACCAGGCAGCTGTCTCAGTACTGCAGAAATCAGAGCTCCAGCTACCACAGTCTGCAGGAGTCTGCACCTCTGTTCATTGTAGAATTAGGTGGACAGTTAAAAGCTTTCTGAAATTCTTCGAAGTTACTAATGGCACCATTGACCCTGAAAAAAGACATGGCAAAACCTATGTTACTTAATTCATGTACATCAAAAGATGAAACTGTAACAGTATAATGCTAGAAAAGATCTTGGCATGGATTTAGTCTGTTCTCAAATGTAACCAAAGCCCCAAATCATTAATTTCCAAAGAAATTAACAGCATCGAGACTAGAATCAGCATCTCCTGAATGCCAAGCATATTCTCCTATTACTCTCCCAACATTTTTTAAAAATTAATTTTTTGTGGAAAGTGTAACTGACATAAATTTCCCCCATCTTAAATGTAGAAATCATTCATTTTTTTTCACATACAACTGTTACTTCCACTCAGATCAAGACGTAGGATATTCCAAGCATCCTAAGGTCTTCCACATGTCCCCTACCAACGGTATCTCTGAAGATAACTACTATTGTGACCTCTATCACCATAACTTTCCTGCTTTTGAACTTCATGTGAGTGGAATAGTTCATAGTTCATAGTCTTCTGTCTTTGACTTCTTTCGCTGAATATAATGTCTATAAGAGTCAATCATGTTGCTCCATTTCTAACTATATTTAAATAGTCCATTCAATCTATCTATAAAAAACACTATCTCTAAATTCCCATTAGATTTAGAGGTTTATATTTACTTAGAATTTGATTAATGCAACAATCAACTAATGAATAATATCTAGCTGTTACAGATCAGTAATTCTTCACTGGATTTTATTTGTAAACTGTAGTTGTTCTTGCAAGTTTCAGATAGCAGTAAAGACTGAATTTTTACTCAGCACTTTGATTGTAACCGCCTTTTGAAAGTGATATTTCCATTGTGTGATTTTTCACTGCACTCAAAATCTGTAGTTACTACAAATATCAGGAACAACTCAGGCAAAAAAAATTCATCCTCATCCATTTCCTACTCAACTGTACATTCAATGGGTTGACTAAAAATTCAGCATTCTTGGTCTCTGATTATTTCTTCCCTAATGACTTTGTTACCTGGGGGGAATTTGAATGAATGTAATGGCCTGTATCCACCAAATCCTCATAACCTCTTGTGCTTTAGCTGGGATACATGGAAAGCAATGCATATTTCATAGTGGGATTCACCCTAGGCAAGTATTAAATATAGAATGTAGCTGATAATCAGTAAGCATACTCTGTAAATTATCAGCTAAAATTCAACATTATAGGCAACTAGTTAGTAAAAGGAAATTAGTTTCTAAAAACTTATCTGTTGAGCAGTTCATCTACTGTGTGGCTTCTTGTGCAACATTTGTCAGTGGGAGCATATTTTAGACCATTAGAAACTGTCAGCCTTCATGATAGCTAAGCCCAGTGGGGGAGAATTTCCAACACACTGATTAGATTTTTATGCTAGTGGGTAATTTATAGGCAATTTTTGAATCATTTCTAAGGCAAGGTTTTAGAAATAAGATTTTAAAATATAAAAGAAATTTAGATGACTTTCTTGCATTATGCTAATGATTCATTTAAATATTAAATGTAAAGATATCCAGGTTCATATATTTTAAGCAAGCAATGAATAACTATAAATTATTATGATTTCTTAGATTTCTAATTATAATTATCTATCCTCTACTGTAGAAAAATTCTCCCAAGCTATAGACCCTAGAACAGGGTAAGTAATATCGACCTTAATTTTGGTTTGGCTTAGTATTTTATACATTCTAACAATTAAGATTGTAATTCACCATCTTTTTCCCTTCATATGTAAACAACTGTTTCAAAATGTGCTGCAAAGTGAAAGCCAAAATGCAGTGTCCCTGATTCAAGGGTATGAATTATAATTGCTAAATATCACCGTATACATTCCTTTGTGTTCAGAGCTATTCAGAAAGTGAGCATTCACTTATGTTTGTTGGTTGACTGTGTGAAAAAACAAGAGATATTAAATAAGATATTCTTTTATATGAAATAAATCAGAGCTCTGGATGTTTTAAGGAGAGCACATCGGATCACACACTGTTCAGAGACAATAAAATTTGTTTTTTGGCCTAGCCAAAAAAAAAAGCTGGATAAATTGCGTATTCCAGTTTACTGAGCATCCAGCATCTGCAGATTACTGCCTTTCAACAAGTAGAAGATAATGAATGGAGTTTAATACCAAAGCTATGATTTTGATTCCAAATCACTTTTGGAGTCTCACAGATCTCTTGATGTAGAACAAAACTAGAAACGTTACTAGTGCCTATCAGCAGAAATTTAGTTGAGTGCAAATTTCCAATGATGAATGTCATTATACTGTACACCTAAAATGTACCAATAAAATAAAATTTTTTTAAAAAAGAAATTTAGTTGAGAAAATACTGAGTAAGCCAGTTTCCTTCCAATGAAAGAAAAGACACTAGTTTCTGTTTGGCTAGGCCAGATTTTGTTGTCTGCAAAAGCAAGATCATGTGGTCCCCAGTACAGGCTTTTGTTCACACCACCATGCACTGAGATAGCTGGGGCAGGGCAACGAGGAGAGATACACAGTTAAAAACTGGTGGTGGCACCCATTTCCTCATATACCTAAACTGAGGGGGGCTGTGAGCACCAACTTGGACTTGTTCTCTGGCAGCTTCTGCTCTGTAGGAATTGCACCTCACCTGGAAGAGAAAGGCAGCCCAATAAATATGCTTCCACTCCAATTACACCTTTTATACTTTCGTAACTGTTCCAAATTATACATAATGATAATTTCACTATCAGTGGGTGACAAACAGTTCTAGTAGGCCAGAGAAACTCTTCATTAGTAGTAACATCTATTACTCCAATTCCCAGGTTAGATAGTTTTATCAATGTGAGTAATGCCACAGTTTGAGTAAATTAAGATGGCTTCAAGAGGGTGTTTTAAATGAGGAATCATGTATGTGCCCAGGAATCAAACAATGCATTCATTCAGTTAATGCTTTAAATAGCTCTTATCAAGTTTAACCATAATTATTTGAATCAATAAAATTAAAGAGTTATCGACAGCTGAGTACGGTTATGAGAAGTTACTATTTTGCTCCCTGAGCACCCAAGTTGCCTTGCCCTAGTATGAACTTGGAACAGGAGTATACTTCTTCTATTGATATTAGGCATGCCTATCTGATTTGTTCTAAGCGAAGGAATGTGAGCAGAACTGATAAACATCACTTGGTGGAAGAAGCTAAAAATCATGACTGAAGTTTTAAGGGCCTTAGTAACAATTTAAGATGCTGCATTAAAGGCCAATGCACATTTGTTCATATTTCTTTCTTCTGTGGTGACCATGGAAGCACCTGTTAAGATAAAGACTCCAAAACACAGGCCCTTGAGTAAATACTATGGGCAGAGTCCCACTGCTAATGCATTTTGGGCTTGAAGTATGAATAAGAAATACACTTTAATTGTGTTGTTTGTTTCTACAGCATAACCTACTTAATCCTGACTTGATATGTCATAATATATGATTTGGTCCTGAAGTATGAATATAACCAGGACACATGAATACGGAGGAATATTCTAAGTGGAAGGACAAATGAGAAAATGATTAAGGAGTGAAAAGGCAAGACACTCAGCTTGGCTGGAATACATGGGACTAATGGGCAGCAGTGAGTGACCAGGGGAGAGAAAGGATGATACCTCATTTCTGGTCTTAAGCAATAGGCCAAAATGTTTAAACTATATTTAAACACTGTTCTTGAGCAGGAAAATAAAATCTGTAGTTTTCAAAGATTTATCTGGCAAGGGTATATAGTAAGAGGAGGAAATTAGACTCATTTGAGGATTATAGGCAATGAATGCCCACTAGATACGTAGAAATGGAAATGGAAAGAAGTAGAAGAGTTAGAAGAATTCCTGAGAAAAGCAACTGACAGTTCACAGCAACTGCAGAGATACAGGAAACAGGTAATGTGATATGACGCTACTGCCTTTGATGAAGACATCAGTCACTGTTTCTGAATTTGATTTTGAAGATGTTTTGTAATGTGATTCCTTCATTTCTTCAGAAGTTAGTTAATGTGACCTTGCTTTTGGCCTTCTATTTTCTCCATTGTTATTTCTTCTTATATTCTTTCATTAAAATATAGTATTGTCTTTGCTTTGTGTGTCAATTAAGGGATTTCTGAAAACATATTATGGTTGTTGCTGTCTCCCAGGTTGTTGCTGTACTTTCCCAGGAGGGAAAATAAGTTTGCTCCGTATATGCAAACCTACTCCAATTTGCAAGATTGAAAATCTCCTCATTCTGTCAGTAGGAAAAGTGCCAAGATAAATTTATCATTAGCGATAAAAAAAATCTTTCAAATTTTCCTAAATATCCTTAGTTTAGATAATGTTTGGTATCATAAAATTGTAGCTATAACATCACTGTCAACTCGTTTATTTCATCTATAGAGAGGTATTACGGACTAGGATGTAAATAGCAAGAAGCCGGATGGTCAATACTTCAGGCTTTGAAGGCCACAAAGTCCCTGTTGCAACTAATCAACTCTGCCACACTAACACAAAACTAGACTGACTACAGATAGATGAAAGAATGTGGCTGTTTTCCATTAAAATATTATTTACAAAACAGACACCAGGCTTTACTTGGCCTCAGTTTTCCAATTCCAACCCTGGAAAGTTCTAACTATTTTATGTGTGTGTGCTTATTTTATTATCTGACCCAGTGCTGACTGAAAAGGAAGTCCCCTTCCTTGAACTATGTTAGTCTTAATCCTTTTCAAGCAATTGATCAAAAAGCACTAAGTATCTACAACATATCAGCACCTTTGCTCAGTGCTGCAGAGATACATAGGAAGTATAAGGATTCAGAAGATTAGCTGTGGAGATAAAACTAAAAATCTTGAACATTTTGACTGCTATTAAGTACTCAACTGCATGGTAAGGAAGGAAAGTGTAAAAGGAGTTAGAGATAAAAAAAAAAAATAATGAGGACTGGAGTCCTTGGGGAAGTTTGTGGAAGATATAGAGGAGGCGAATCTTGATGTGGATCCTGACTGTTGAGGCCAGGATTGACTAATGCGAGGGGGCTATGTAGGAAGGGAGCCGTATTATAAAAGGCCAATCAGAAGCAAAGCCACAGAGACAATAATGAGCATAACATCATAGGGGAGAAGTGAGGAGAGCTGCCTGGGTAAGGTTGAATTTTTCTCGTCCAGCAGATCTGTGGGAAATTAAAGTGAATCAGATGGAGATGGATCAAACTGAGAACACAGGAATCCCAGTGGAGGTGTTTGGCCTCAAAGTGACAGTCATTTGGAAATCTTTTGGAGGGTCAGTAATGAAATAGAAGTAGTATTTCAGTGGAGTGTAAAACAGTGGTAAAAGATGCTGGAGTCAGGAAGAGAAAAAATAGGGCTGGCTGATGGGATACTGCAGAGTGGAATATATGATGATTTAGCCTATAAATGATGAGGTAGAGTAATGAGGATGCTACAGGCTAAATTTTTGTTTATCTCTCTCAAATTCATATGTTTGAACTCTAAACCTAAAATGATGCTATTAAGAGGTGGAGCCTTCGGGAGGTAATAGGTCCTGAGTGTGGAGCCCTCAGGCATGGGATTTGGTGCCTGTATTTATAAGAGGCCAGAGAGCTACTTAGCTCTTTGAATCACATAAAGACACAGTAAGAAGTCATCAGTCTGCAGTCTGGAAGAACCCTCGCCTGAACCCGACTCTACGAGAACCCTGAACTCAGACTTCCAGCCTTCAGAACTATGAGAAACCAATTTTTGTTGTTTAAAAACCAACCCAATCTACAGTACTGTTATAGTAGCCTAGGCTGCCTAAAACAGGGGAGAGGAGAAGCTGCATCTAAAAAGCATGTAAAAGATGAAGCATCTAGCTTTGGGGACACATCTCATAAAAATAAGACCTAAAAATCTAGGCTTTCTAACCATAATGACCCAAAGACTGGAGTATATTGATAGGAAAACTGAAAAGGAAAGTCATTTTGTTGCTAGCTACAGTCTTGTTGACATCAGGTTGATAAATGGTAATTGGCTTGTTATTGTCCTGTCAGCTTTAGGAAATAAAGGACCCCAGACAGATGAGAATCCTTTAACCAGAAATGATTATGGAAGACTTAGGGATAAATAAGTTTGCTAAAGAATGAATACAGGCTTGGGAACAAAAGGTTGTACTAATGAAAACGTATAGTTTTGACCACATACATATTCACTCTCCCACTGTGAGGGCAGGCACTAGAACCTTTATCTGCCCATCCCCGCCCATTTCTTTGGAAATGTTGCCTAGATATTTTTGACATAAACCAATAACAAAGAATTGGTACTGGCCTCATTATCCAGACACTCAAACTCAGAATTGTACTTTACTTAATTCTCATCTTCCTTTCAATTTCTGCTCCAAGAACATATCAAACTCATAAAAGAATGGCCTGACTCTCTTTTCGTCTGTTGTTCCCTTTTCTGCTCCAGTATAAATATTCATTTGACAATTGGGAACCCAGCCATGGGTTGAGAGTGATGGGATGAAATCAGCAAATGAGGCAAAGAAAAAGAAATATAGGAAAGGGCAGGGCCAGGAAAGCCAAAGAGTAAGTTATTAGAAATGGTTACAAACAGTATTGAATACATTAAGCAGCCAAGGTATACTGAAGAACTATCAACTGAGTTAACAGGGTTGGTAACCCACAGTATTAAAACACACCAATAAACGTTCATTTCATTGGGGGATTATTTATGTCCCACAGAACTTTAAAAGACGGAATTTATCCTGAAACTAATCAGCCAGGTAAAATTTTAGTTAAAACCAAAGTCATGCCATGAAACTTTCTTTCCAAACCTTTAATCAAGGGCACAACCTCAAGTCCCACATTCTGTCTTTGATGTCCCTTTCTCAGTCTACTCACATGAGCATAACTCAGGAAGAAGAGCTGGTTGTTGGTAAATGTGATTCCTGGTAAGAGAGGCTCCTCGACTCCCTGCCTTCTATCATTAATCCATTTCCTGTAAGCCTGGTGAAAAAAGCAGAATAGATGAGTTTCAATAATAATGGTTTCGCTCTTTTCTTATATAGCACAGAGATATTACATATACACTCCTGCCATGTACTAAATGCATTGTCAAGTTTTCCCTTAAGAAAGCAAATACCTGGAAATGCAAGCCAATCTTCTTTCATCTCACAGTGAGGCAGGTACACATGCAAAAAGGCCTTACACTCAGTAATCATCAGAGCAGCTTGCCCAAAGTGTTGACACATTAAAAGAAAATCTTTCCAAATGATTCCAACATGGGATAAACACATCCAACACTACAGTAAGCCCTTATGGCAATAAAGTTTGGGAACAACATATTATCAATTTTCTATTTTGCCAACTGACAGGAAAAGCTACCATCTTCTATCACCATGATTTTATGAAACAAAATGAATTTGAACTAGCATGTAGAAAGGATATAACCTTGGAATAATAACTTAGACTTTAAAGTGAATGCATTTAGCTTTATGAAATATCCTTGTGTTTCTTGTTTAACCACAGAGCAAGAGATGATGAAAACACTATTATGGACTCTTACCTGGCCCAAAATACGAGAATCATAGCCTCTGGCTATAATCTAGAAGTTTGGTACTTTAAGACAACATTATAAGGTGGGATATAGAGAGAATTGTATTCAAGGAAAACTCATTTGCACCTAGCCCCAAGGAGATTTCTATAGCATACTTTAATATGATTATGAGAATACATTCTTAAAACTATCCCTTAAATACATGATCCTTAATAACAAATATTATTATTTAGGGTGACTTTGTATCCCAAAAAGAAAAAGAAAGAAATGTAGTCCTATTTATATAATAGGGTATAATAGAATCAATGGGGTAATACAATTCCATTTATAGGAATTCCAGAATACTCAACTTCAAGAGCATGTTTGTGGTGCTGAGGATCACCCATATTGAATTTTACACTTTAATTTTTTAAATTACAGCAAATGTAACATACCCTAAAAGCTTCCCTCAGACCTCCATTATCAGCAATATTTTCTCCCAGAGTCCTCTTCCCCTTCACCTAACAGAAAGGAAAAAAATAAGGAAAGATTGTCAACTATCATCAGCAAGAGACATAAATATTATAACAAGCAAAAGTGTCGTATTTTAAAGGCAAACTTACATTCAATAAATCAGAGGTAGTCATAATATGAGATGGCAAACTAACCCCAGTAACGTGCTCCTGAATATAATTATTTCTATTTTATTATGCTACACATTACTTTCTCACCCTTCTCTTTATTCTTACCAATTTAGCCTGCTCCAATAAAATGTTAGCAATATTCTGAGTGACTGTGGTTTAACAGGGAAAAAATAGAAATGTCAATACACGTATTACTTTCTCTGATCAACTCCAGTAATTTAAGTATTCAACTCATTGTAACTGTATTCCCAAAACTTTGCCATCCATACAGGAACAAGATTTCAAGACCAAACATTATCATTTTACCTTCCACAATTTCCATGAAAAATGAAAAGGAGGGTAGACCTCTTGGGAAAAAAAATCAAACAGTCAAGTTTTGCAATATATACGACACCCTGCCAAGCATGATGAAGAAATTCTTCCCAATGTTTGAAAACTATTTCTTAAAACCTTAAATGAGCTAAGACAAAAATATTCTAAATCAATACAGCTCACAAGACAAAGCCAATCTACCACTTTTGCTGGTGTAGACTGCAAGATAAGAGTGGATTTCACATTTTTCAATGATTGGGGGAAAATCAAAAGAAGAGTAATATTTTGTGGCTCATAAAAATTATATTAAATTCAAATTTTAGTGGACATAAGTCATGTTGGGTTTTTTTTGGAACAAAGCCATGCCCATTCATAACCACTATCTGTGGTTGCTCTCTTGCTACTGTGGTAGAATTTAGTAGTTGCAATTTAAACAATATAACCTACAAAGTCTAAATTATTTACAGAAAAATTTGCCAACCCCCATATAGTAGGCAGAACAATAGCCTCCAAAGGTGTCTACATCCAGATTCCTGAAACCTGTGAACATGTTACCATACAATGGCAAAGGGGACTTTTAAAATATGATTAAGTCAAAGATATTGAGAGGGGGACATTATCTTGGATTATACAATGGGATCAATGTGATTACAAGCACCTTATAAGGGGAAAGGGGGGACAAGAGAGTTAATGGCAGGATAATACAATGTGAGAGGACTCCACCAGCCACTGCTGGCTGTGAAGAAGGAGGGGACCATGAGCCAAGGAATGTGGGCAGCTACTAACTTTTCTAAAGTTAAAAAAGGCAAGGAAACATTCTCCACTAGTGCCTCTAGAAAGGAACAGAGCCCTGTGAACATCTTAATTTTAGGCCACTGAGATTTGTGTCAGATATCTGACATACAGAAATGTATTATAATAAATTTGTGTTGCTTTAAACTACTGAGTTTATAGTAATCTGTTATAGCAGCAACAAGAAAATAATATCCCCTGCTCTAAACTTTCAAGCCATGGAGTCTATCAATTGTGTACTTACAAGATGGCTTAATTGCCCAGGTATCAAGAACTATCAACAAATAGAAATGAATCTTGGAAGGGCCAGGGATTTAGCTCAGTGGCACCATTCCTGCCTCGCAAGCACAAGGTCCTGAGTTCAATCCCCGGTACCAAAAAAAAAAGTACAACCAGAAATAAATCTTTGGAAAACATGATTTATTATAATCACCAAGGACCCTCCCTAGCTTTAATCTCCCAAAGTTACTATTCCTGTTTTACATTTTTTTCTTTTACTGCACTGCTATGAGGGAAGTATTATTATCACCATCCTTGTTTAATAAATGAGGCTCTAAAGCTGTGTAGCAGATATTGCTGGTACCCAACTGGATCCCCTTTTATACCAGGTCTGTGCACCCAGTCCTGCAACTGCTAACAGCTTAGGAATGTTAGCCTTAGTTTACAGGAGTCACCATGGAGATTGTGGAACACCCCAGACCCTTGGGCCAGGGCTGAACAGTTACAGTTCTGAATTTCATGCACCAGAACCCTCTGTGGGGTCAGGATAAGGCTTGCTTTACTTTTTCTGAAACCAATATGTTTTTCTCAGTCCCTTTCAGGTTTCTCATTAAACTGCTTCCTCAATGAAGCACTGACCTAAGATACTCTTTCTTGGGCTTGGCTTCTAGTGTTCCTGATCTAATACAGAATGATCAAGTGAACTGCTTACATTCCTCAGGGATTCAAACCCAAGGACTTCTGTATCCAGGGTCTTTGTTTGATATTATGTACCTTCTTGAGCACTGATTCCTACTGGCTTTTGATGCTTATGTTTATAGCCACTCATAGTTGAATCTATCTCCTTCCTTTTTACTCTAAGCTTTATACCTAAGATAGAGGATCTGGGAGCAGCCCCACTTCTCTGATTCCTCATACTATGGACCATCTCAGTAAAGCACAGAGCCCTAGTTTTGGCCTCATGGGACTCAACAGCTGCTGACAGTTGGCATCTGCAAGCTCCTCCTAATTTACCACAAAAAAATAATTCAGGCACAGAGGACTGGCACTTGCAAAGCCAGAAAATTAAAGCGTGGCCCTCAATGGCCACTAAGGAAGCCACCCATTCTCCGACAGTTGGGGGAAAATGGATGCTGAGGAAAAGTCTACTTATACATCACCCAGGTATGAAAATGAACCCAAAATAAGAGAACTAGAGTATAATATAGGGGAGAGGGCAGTGTGAACTCTGAAGTCACACATATTTAAACTCTAATCTACACTCTACCAAAGGCATTAATCTCTGAGCCTCAGTTTCCTCATATGTAGAATGTGATATGTATACCTCTCAGGACTAGTGTAAGGGTTACATTTATTTCAGTAAAGTGAAAAGTCTAATTCCCATGTCTACAGATAATAATCAAAGGAAATACGGATTTTTCTTTCTCTAAGAAAAATGTCTTCTATTGTTTGTTCAGCCCCAAATTCTTTGATTTATTTTCTCCTGGAGTGTGGTGCCTATGAGTATCCCACAAAGGATCAGGAATATTAAACATCTTTTACTGAGCACTTCCTGCATGCCAGGCATTTTGCTTGTTACTTCCCTCATTTAATTTCTACAACAAACTAGAATTCAGAAAAATAATATTTACCCATTTCACAGATAGAGATGCTAAGATTCAGAAGTATTGTGTCACTTGTCCATGTTCATGAATGCAGATAATTTTTTTTGTTTGACACATAATACTTGTACATATTTATGGGGTAAAATGTGATGTTTAGATAGGCTAGGTTGTGATCAAATCACAAGAATTAGCATATCTGTCACCCTAAACTTTATCATTTCTTGATGATGAATATATTCAAATTTTTCTCCTTTGGCTATTTTCAGAGATGCAATACATTATTGTTAACTATAGTCACCCCACTGTGCAACAGAACATAAGAACTCACTCTTCTTATCGAACTACAATATTGTACCCATTAATCAGCTTTCTTTCCCTACTCTCCAGCTTCTAATGACCACTATTCTATTTTCTATTTTTATGAGATCCTAATTTCTGACAAATATTTTACTCAGGGAGAAAAAAACTTTCTTTTAAAAAATAGTGCTTTTAGAAAAACATATTAACTTCATAGAAAAATAAATTTCACATGCATGAAAACTTAAATGTAAAATAACAAAACAATAAAATCCTTCCCAGAAAAGATAGAGAACTCCATATACAATATACGTAGGTGTTGAGGACAACTTCATGGCCGAAAACGGAAACACTAAGCTATTTTTTAAGAGATAGGAGTATTTTGGACTTTATAAAAATGCTTAAATTTTGTAGGTCAAAAGATACCATACACAAAGTCCAAAGGATGAGTAATATATTTTGGGGAAAATACATAGAAATGATAGGCAAAATTTTAACATCTATACTATTTTAAAAGTTTGACATAAATTGACAAAAAAACAACTCAATGGATAAATGTTCTTTCATATATCACTTGGGAAAATAGGAAATTTTATAACTTTTTGGTGAAAGTAGGAGTCTATCCTATAGAGAAAAAGAATATGTACATAATAAAGGTGTTTACTGCATCAGTGTGTATAATTGCAAAGTGTAACTCCTTAACAAGAGATTAGTTGACTACGTGATAGTACATTCACATCAGGGACTCTTAGCCATTAGAAAATAACCACTAAAGTTATCTATGTGTCTATGCAAGCATGGGGAAAACATATCAGGGTTATTAACATTGATTACAGTCAGGGAATGTAAAATGATAAGAGGAATGGGGGCAAGGAGATGGAGATGAAGTCAAAAGAGGAAAGAAACAAAATTTCACACACAAAAAGGATGTATGAATTTGCATTTGTGCCTTTATATAAAATTATATATGTAAATATAATAGAAAATACACATTTTAAAACATATTTCTTTGGTTCAAACTTGCATAACTAAGAACTCCTAACCAATTCTCAGATCTATTAGTCAAATTAATGAGGTTTAATGTCAATGAAGTAAACCTAAGGAGTAGTTTGGATGGAAATTTTTAAAACCTGATATATGGAATTAAGAAGTTTATATGACTATGACTGTTTACCTATGCTACAGCATTTTTGCCATCAATCTGAATCTTGGAGAACGAACTAATATGCAGGTCCATGATTCTCAAATTTCAGTTTATATCAGAATCAGCTGAGGACTTGTGAAAAGACTGCCAGATTATCAGGCTCCATCCCTAAAAATTCTAATTCGGTAGGTCTAGGGTAGGACTCCAGAATTTGCTCCGTAAAAAGTTCCCAGGAAAGGCTGGTGTTGTTGATCTCAGAAGCACATTTTGAGAACCAGTGATCTAAAGCAAGCAAACATACAAACGAGGAAAAATGTCCCACAAGATGCCCCCTCAACACAACCATACTCACATTTAAGCCAGCTTTCTTCCAATAATAGTTGCTATACTGGTTAATCATGCACTTAGTTTTTTCTTTAAACTTTTCTTCTGATTCCATAGACCACCAAGGATCCAGGTTTCCATTTTTATCATATTTTCTACCTACCAAATAGGAAAGTTAAAAGACATCTGTGTTATTTATGGAAACTGAATTCTTTATCTTTCCCTTTCCTCATCTCGAAAGCTTTCAAAATGCAGTTACAACAGGAGGGAACACTCTTCCTGAGAACAACTCCTGCATTCTCTCCAATGTCACAGGTTAACTTCGGAAAGAGGGCAAAGGAAGAAAAAGATTGAGGAAGTTCTTTCCTTCTGAGAACAGAGGGCAAATGAGACTTATGAATTTAATATATGTACCAATCTTATCCAATCTTGGATTCTGTGTTTTTAGCTGCTCTGACCCGAAATGTTCTCTGGATCATAAAATGAAATGGCTTCATTCAAGAAGCCTACAGAGAAAGCCAGCGACTACCAGTGAAATTCCAAACACTCCATAGGAACAGCGCTCCCAGTGAGTCATCCACACCGTAGGACCATACACCCTGACTCAGCCCTATAGGAATCTGCTTCCTCCAAGTTGCCCGGAGCCAAGGGACACATAAAACCTCTGTTATGAATCATTCCATAGTCATCAGTGTGGATGGAAGACCCATCTGTCCTCCTTAGACAAGGATGGCTGCTCTAAAAAGAAAACTTAGAACAAGAATGGAAATCTCCAAAACATAATGGGGAAAAAAGATTAGTTATACATGATTTCTTGCTACATGCTCGCTCACTTCTCATTTTCTCTATATCCTTCAAAACAGCAGTTTGAGTGTATCTAGACTATCTTCTATATTCAAAGTTACAATTGGAGTCAGAGGCATGGATTAAATTTAAGTGTGTGGAGAATTTACAAGATGATCCCCTAAGTAAGTCTCCTAAGAAGGAAAGTTTACAAGAAAGACTTTATAAGAAAGCCCCCTATGCAAAGGCATTGATTAGAGAACAACCCAAAGCTCTCTAGCAAGGCTGCATGTTACTGCCACCACTGCCTGAATACTGTAGCATGGAGTTATCATCTGCCATCATTAGATTCTTTTACTTGGGAGAGATACCAAAAGGCCTCCAGGAGGTTCTAGGGGAGAATTTTACTTAACTTTCCTAGGAAGAAAGGTTCAGAAACAATTGAACACTGTTATGGTTTAGATCGAGAATATCTCCCCAAAGCCTCATGTGTTCATAGGTGAGGATTTTGGAAGGTGAGTGCATCATGGGAGTGCTATACTCAACAGTGGATTAATCCCCCAATACATTCATAGCTGATTTGCTAGTAGGAGGTAAGGCCTAGCTGGAGGTAGGTCACTGGGGAAATTATCTGGAAGGGTATATCTCCCTCCCCATTGCTTCCCTTCTTTCTCTGCTTCCTGGCTGCCATAACGTGAGCAGATTTCCTCCACCAAGCCCTCCTACCATGCCTTTCCTGCTCCGGAGCCAGCCATAGGACCATATACCCTGAAATCGTGAGCCAAAATAAATCTTTCCTCCTTTCAGTTGTGGGTGTTGGATGCTGTGTCTTAATGATGAAAAAGTAACTAAGACAAGTACCATTTGCTTTACTTTCTTGGTTAAGACTCTCCTCTCAGATAAACCAAACATCCAAAGGTAGAGTTTAGCTCTGGGGAGTCAGATGACTATGAGACAGTAACATTTTAATGGGGAGGTGGAGGACAGGCGAGCAAAACATTAGGTGATTAAGGACTGATAGGGAGTGCAGGAAGAAATGACCAGAAGAAAAAGAGCCCAAAGTGTCTCTGGCCCAGGAGTTGGCATCATGCAAAATACTATATGCATTAGAGAAAGAAGAGCTGGGGATGTATCTCAGTTGTGCTGTGCCTGCCTGGCAAGCACAAGGTCCTGAGTTTGATTCCTGGTACTGGAAAAAGAGAGAGAGAGAGAGAGAGAGCTCCTTTTAACAACATTGTCTTAGGCCAGCTGGGTTCTTGGGACTGCCTATAAATCATTGTGTGGATATATATGTAATAATAATTCACTGTTAATTCATAAGCTTCAGAGAGGTTTCTGCAGTTTTCCAATAATACTCCAAAGTTAAGAGTGCTGATTAAAAATGAGGACTCTCAAAAGGCATCTTTTCTTTAGTGTAGGCTATATTATGTTCTTTCCTTTTGCTTAAATGTCATAAGGATACACAGTATATTATATATTGTGCATTATTAGGAAAGCATAGCCTTTTGAAATCAAATTCTAAGTACATGCCAATGTAAAGAAAAATAGAGGTTAAGAATTGCATAATTCTTGAAATTGCATAAAAGAACCAACCAGCCAAGGTCCAGAGGCCTAACTTGGCAGTGCAGCATGTACAGTCATCACTAGGGCAGAACTCACACCTCCAGGGAGAACATCTCAAGATGGTGAATCAAAACAAATGACAAAGGGGAGAAATGATAATGTAATTTCTGTAACCACTGTGGCAACTACAGTGATCCTGATCTAAATGCAAACTTCATTTCATTGAAATTATCAAGTCTTTGTTTCTAATTGTACTGGATCACTAACAAGAATTGTTTACTTATTACAATCTATCACAGCAAGACATGAGAAAAAGTTTTCAATCAGGAATCATATTGCTTTGGCTAATCTTCAATCTATAATGATGCTGGTATGAAAAATAATAGCACCAATTAACACCCATATAGTCAACATTGCTATAAAAGCAGCAGCTTATAAAATGAACTAGTACTTACCATTATTATCAAATCCATGTGTAAATTCATGTCCAACAATTACTCCTATAGCACCATAACTCAGAGATCTGTCATAAGTACATAATTTGAAGAAAATTACAAGCATAAATATGAGAGCATAATCCTTTAATTTTTCAATGAAAAGTCAAGATAATCAGTTTTCCATCATAAAAATAAAAATCTAATAACCATACCCATAAAACTATAAAAAATCACCTAAACATACCCTTCTAATTGAAATGAACAAAGTATAATCCTAACATTGTCATTGTAACCTTGTATGGGCCCTGTGAAATTAGGGCTGTGAAAGAGATTTTCCTTTCCAGTTCTTAAGTTTTCTATGATTCTATATACACTTTGGTGATATTTTTTATTTATGAACACCTAAAATAGAATTTGAAAAGATCTGTCAGCAAATGTACTTTTTTATCTGAAAATTTTGGACAATCACTATAATCTTAGAAGTTAAATTGTTTTCCAACTGAAATCATAAAAACAGGACTAGAGCAGAGATTAAAAGCGGTCTCTCCATTTTCAAAGGGAATCATATTCCTCTGTTACTGTGGCAGACAAGCTGACAACTGAATAATAAAGCTTGTGAAGCTCCAATCAGATTTAGAAAAAGCACTGCATTATTTCCCTTTACCTATGAAGAAGCAGGAGGGTTATGCACAATTGTGGCCACCAACAATTCCACCTCCCATCAAGAGGTGATCTATTTATTTCCTTGCTCTTGAACCTGGAATGGCCTTGGGAATTTGGGATCAACACAATAACATGGAAGGGGCCAGGTGTCACTTCTGGGCCTAGGCCTTGGGAAACTTTGCAGTTATTTTCTGCACTTTCAGAAGTTAGCTACAGTGAAAAAAAAATTGACTACCCATTTAGAAGGAAAGAGGCCAGGTGAAGTCAGGGAGAGATTCCAAAAGCTGAGAAACTGAAGGCAAAAAAGAGGCCCTGCCAGATCCTACTCATTGAAGTCAACCCAATGTGTGAGTGAAATGATCTTAGATAAGTGGTATTGAACCTGTGGTACACGTGTTATTGTATTTTTCTTTTAAAACAAAAGATGTTAATGTATGAGTTGTTTTTTCTAAACTAAAACCTCAGTATTCAGGTTTAATTGCAGTGTTGGCACTTTGTGATAAATAAGTGGTTGCAGTTTGGACAGTTGGTCTCTAAAAGGTTCGCCATTGTTGTCTTAGATCCTCCAGCCCTATGGAGCTACCCCAGTCATCACAAGCAGGAGGGACAAGCTGTCTTAGCTTGCAGAATCATGAGCCCATAAATGATTGCTTAATGGTGCTCTGTTATGTAGCAACAGAGAACTGAAACGAAGTATACATAGATGAAGAAATCAACAAAGGGGTTTGCATTCCAGTGTGTCCATAATTTTCTCTCTAAACTATAACTTCCAAGAAGGCCAAATTCTTGTCAACTTGTTCACTGCTAAATTATTTGTACCTAGTACACAGTAAGAAATTTAACAATGATTTAACTAATGATCAACTTTACCATCTCGTGTAAGTGGCAGATCTACAGGTAACATGTTTAAGTCATTTAACCTATAGGTGAGAACTGTCAACAATTTAGAATCCTTATTGTAAGGATTCCTCATGAGACTGCAATTATGCTAACAATATGTCACAGTTGATTCCTGACATGCAACAGCAGTCACCCAGCAAATAAATAGGACCCATAACTGGAACAAACAGAAATTTTTGAAGCAGTGTGTTATTACAGGACATAATGATCCTTAACATGCTAATTGTTTGTCTCAACTATGCCCAAGGAAGTGCTGTAAGATTTAATTTTCCCCCTTGATGGCAATTCTTTCCTTTGTTATTTCTTTCCTGCAAGGTAATTAGCATTTGAAAAAATACTTCCTACTGTTCCATCATTGCAAACCTCTATTAAAGAAGTAAGAGTAAAATTATGCATTCCAATCATAGGGCTATCATAGCAGTGTGGGACAAACTTGTAATTTTACAGTGCTAATTTTTGCCACAGTAACTATCACTGTGCAGCCTGCAACATTAAGTTTTTCCAGATTCCTCATGCCTGAGAATAAGCACTCGGTCCTCTACAACCCTAATTCAATGCTGTTTACTGAATGAATTTATAGAATGAACAATGGAAGCTTATAGGAACTGCTCTGCAATAAACGCCCCTTCAAAGGGAATGTTCCAACAAACTCTCATTTGCAAATGGTAAAAGAGAATTCAGAAGATGATTAAATTGCAAAGTATAAGTAAGGAGCAAAACAGAGGCTAGATATTAGGAAGTAGAAGAACTTTTTCAAATGGGAAGGGGAATAAGAAATGGGGGAAGAGGGAGGGAAAGAAGGGGAAGGGGATTTAAAAGAAAAAAGAGTTGGCTGGGGATTTAGCTCAGTGGTTCCGCCTCCTGCCTTGCAAGTGCAAGGACCGGAGTTCGATCCCCAGTACCAAAAAAGAAAGAAAGAAAGAAAAAAGAGTTGAAGGAAAAAATGGAAATAGAGCTTTTGCAAATTGGGAGGGAAGAAAGAATGGAGGGAGAGGAGAGGAAAGGAACAAGAAAAGAATTAATATTTATTATGTACATGCATAATTCCCTATGGTGAATGTGATCAATATGTACTGAATAAATAAAGAAGATTGAATCATTGTAAGTTTCAATTCTTGTTACAAAAACACAATCCTTTGGACAAGAGACAAAGAAAAAGTACTGTAATTCTATATAACTAAGCCTTATAATGACAATGTTTTATAATATTAAATTCACATCCTCCATTTTATCAATGGGCATTATGTAAATTAGCATGTCATATAAAAATAAACTCATGTGCCTTCTAAAATGTACCTGGCTGACCAGAAACTGAAAGATTTCCTGCAATGATGATCTAGCCTTCCAAAAATAAAATAGAAAACATAACAGTTTTACTACCTACTCAGTTTCTCTTTTGTTCTTACTATCTGATGTGTTAAACATGTGTCTTTGTGCTGTCCGGGTTCACCATGATCTCATGTTGTTGTCAGGTAAGAACTAGCTTTATGCCTGCACCATAAAATCATAAAAATCTCCAAGTTGGAAGTGGCTTTAAGATCATATAGATCAACTCCCCACTAGAGGCATGAGTCCCTCTACAAAAACTCATTCAGATGGCCCTAAGACTTCTGCTTGGATATTTCCAATATCAGGGGCTCAACCACTTCTTAGGTAACCCATTCCGTCTTTGGGTGGTTCTAAATAAAACAGGTCTCCCCAGTGTTGATCTAAATTTTCTTTCCATGTCTTCAATATATTGGCCTACTGAAGTCTCTAGTTGAACACCTGCTGACTCCTCTGAATATAATAAATCATTCTGTCACCTTAATTTTCCCTTGAAAATATGAGATCAGAGGTTCCACACTTAAACGTCCTCAAGTTCTTTCAATTCTTATTCTTAAATCATAAACTCTAGAGCAGAATTTCCAAAAATGTAGGGAAAGGAGTTTAGGAACCTCTGAGTTAAATATATTTAAATAAGTTTTTCTGTCATACAAGTTCTTATGAACTTTTATGCTGATGAGTATTAGAATTCTCCAAAATGGAGAATTCGTGAAACAGACCCTTTGAGAAATGTTGTCTTTACGCTATTTATAATCCTGATTCTTCTGGAATTAATTTGGCTTGTTCATGTCTTAATAATTAGGCTTAATGCTCAAGTGAGAGCTAAGCTGACCAGTATTAGCAAAAATGATACCCACTCCTTTGGTTCATGGTGGCCATCCATGAATTAAAGCAGAACAGATGGATGGATGAGTAGGAAGCCATTTTACTAGACTGAGATTCCCATGTCCTCGGCATCTCCATAGTCCCAGCGCCAAGTACCCAAATGATAACAGATATTCATTGAGTGGCTGTCTTACTAGAGGCTAGATGGCTTTGGTAAACACACAGAACTCTTTAGGAAAAAAATACAAATCTCTCTCCCACTCAAGTTTCAACTATGGGTCAGCCTAATGTACAATTAAAAGATACTAACACTAATTCTTAACTTTCTATGATTTTGACAATTATTTCAGGAATTCATGTTTATAAATCTAATAAACAAATCATTGAATCAATAACTTCCAAACCTAACCAAACTATTTTGCAAGTCTCCAGCTACATAACCACAGTAATAGAAACTCAGTTAAATTGGTAATGATAAGCAGAATAAAAGAATTCTAGGGATCTTTTTTAGTTTCAAGGGAACTTAGAGAATAATTAACCCACATCTTAAATTTTATGGAAATATCTTAAATATGGAAAAAATTAATTGCAAGTATCTCAATGCTAAAAGAAAACTGCAGCTGAGACCTAAGATGGCATTAATGGGGTTGATTAAATACAAACCTAGAATTTGCATTTATTCTAACTATGGTTATTTCTCTCAGTAGGCTTTACTGGTGTCTGCTTATGTCCCCTTGGCACTCAGCATTTCTGAGGACCCCGATTTGATAGCTTTCAACTCCCAGCTCCTGAAAGTAGTTGCCTCAGAACTTTCTCCAGTGAACAGAGATGTCTTAGCCTAGGCTGGGCACTGCCACAGAGTCAAGGCCCCTCCTAGTAGACCTCAATCAATAATAGAGTGTGAGCTCAAGGATAAATACCCAGCTTCCTTGTCCCTGAGGGAGATCACTGTAAATCACATTCTATGGTTCACTAGCAGCACTGAGTTCCGGTTGCCCATGGTGATAAACTGGCTTTTTGTAGCACACTCATGGTAAGTACTGTAGTATAATGGTCCCCAAAAGATGTCCACATGCTTGCTATTCCCTGGAACCTGTGAAAATGTTATATTACATGGCAAAGAAGAATTAAGGATGTTATTTAGCTGACCTTAAAACATAGGTTATCTTGGATTATCTAGGTAGGCCCAATGTAACCCCAAAGGTTTTTTAAATTAGAAGAGCGAGGCAAAAGATAAGAGTCAAAAAAAGATAGGGTTATGGAACTTTCAAGACAGAGAAAGAAAACTATGGGCCAAATATAGGCCACCTCTAAAGGCTAGAAAAGATAAGGAAATAGATTTTTTTTTTCCCTAGAGCTTCCACAAAGGAAAGCAGCTCTGTGTATACCTTGATTTTAGCCTAGTGGGAGCCAGGTTGAATTACAGAACTATACTCTAGGAAATTCATATAATTTTAAGCCAAGTTTGTGGTAATTCATTTTGGCAGCCACAAGACTCATAGGACACAATTTACTGGCTTCCTTCCTTCTCTGTCTCACTTCCTCTCTCCTCTGTTTGTGTTTTCTGGTACCACCTCCCAAAAGAACCATTTGCAGGTACAAATTCCCAATGATGAATGTGATCATAATGTATACCTAAAATGTACTAATAAACTTAATGGAATAAAAAAAAAGAACTACTTGCACTTGAATCCTTATCACAGGGCCTGCTACTGGAGAATCCCAAATCAAAATACTGTCACTCCATTTATCTTATTTATGTAACTATGCAACCCTGCATCTTTATTATCTCAGTGATCATAGGAAAACTGTCATATTTCCAAAGCAAAACACAGGCGACTCAACTTCTAAAATCAAGGCAAAATTTTCCATGCTAATGCATGGAAAGGCACCAGAGCACACAAAGGCATAGAATAAAAGTGGTGATGTTATTGGCAATGAATATTATGAGAATCTCTATTGTATATGGAAAATGTGAATCACATAAATCTATTATCTATTGCTATAAACAGGCTTTAAACTGGTAGTCCTATATTCAGGCACTATTTTGACCTGCTCTGTAGCTACACAGGTAATATTCTAAAGATAGATTTGATTGTCTTACTTGTTTAAAAACTTCAAGATTTTCCGTTGCTTGTTAGTGTCCCAGCTTCTCATCTAATATCCAACTTCAACCTTTTTTTGTAGACTACTTTCCACTACTTCCTTTCATATATCACTTGGGACAGCCAAACTGGACTCTTTTGTCTTTCTCTAAACACATTTCTCACATTGTTTCTTAGGCTGGAAAGGTTTTAGAACATCACATCTACAACAATGCTTCAAATTAATAAATGCATAAAAATGAAAAACATCTATAAATAAGTTGGCCTTCCAGTGTAGTTATATACCTAGCAATGAAGAACAGAAAACAAAGGCCTAATAGAAAATAAAAAGACCTAAAATAGTAAGAGTACAGCTGACCCACACTAGGTTCCATGCCCTGTATCTGAACTATCCCTTACTTCACTTCTTTGACTTTATATTGCTGTCTTTTGCCAAAGCAGCATGCCCTTCCTTCTAATTTGTTAATAATTGGTTTCTTTATTAATTTACTCACCGAGGATATTCTGTTCCCCAAAAGAAAGGCTTCTGGAGCTCTCCTGCTGGAAACCCTGGGAGGAAAGCAAACAAAAACTGTTACAGGATATAGAGAGACTGATACAATGAGGAGTCCCTGGTTCCTGCTATAGCCTGGAGCTTCTAGCTACCCAGCTGAAAGACCTCTTCTTTAGGGACTAGGGGCCACCTAAGAGATCCAGTTGTCTAAAAGTGATCTTAATTCACCGGAAGCATTTCAAGGACACCATTTTGAGCAGATCTACTACTAGCAGTGTCAAGCCTGCTGTGAATCAGGTCCCTCCATATACTGCCTGCACATGAGCCTTCAGGCTGTCCAGCACCTTCCCCTGATGCAGAAAGGGCCTGGCTTCATGGATACAGGACCTGCGCAGACAAGCCCCACATGCAGAAGTACTTCATACTTAATTTAATATTCTACTGTCACTGTCTTGAACTTCACAAGAATTTAATCTATGAACTTATATTTTGTAAGTGGAGTCTGAGGGAACAATGGAACATGTGTGAAAACAAAGGAGACACACATGGTATGTGTAGATCCTAGATGCCCAGCTGGCACATAGCACTCATGATTCCCTCTAGGAACTCAGGATTCTGGGAAGTCCACAATGCATGGGAGATTTGTTGCGACACAATTGGCATATAAGGTAAGCATGTTCCGCAGAATTGAGTGAGCTGGGGCTTGGACATCTCCAAGAGGCCACACTTGCCATGCAAACCAAAATTCGCTTGTATCACTGAAGAAAAGGAATGGTGTTCTTAGAAGCTGAATGAACCCTGTCATAACCTCTCTCCTGTTACTCCCCTGTATTTGCTAACCTCTTATAGTGAAAATGATAACATAGAGGGAAAGGAAAAAATAAGGCTGCCCTTAATTTCTTTTTCTTACAGTCTTCCCTTACTCATCAGTAGGCTGAAAGTAGAGAGTGTTGACAGACTGTGTATGTATTAAGAAGTGAAATAAAAATGGCTGAATTTCTTCTGTAGAGCATTTCTACCTTGCTGGTAAGAAAAAACATATATGCATATAAAAGCTAAAAAATGCAAAATGTCATTTTGACAATCCCATATGCATGTTAAGTGCTCCTGAATTTGCACTAAAACCTGTATTATACAATATAAAGATGAACAGAAAAATTCATGCTAATGATACAAAATTTTAGTTTTTCTTGTAACAGTAGTAAATAGCAAATAAAAAATACTATGACAAATCAAGAGAGAGATCATGAAAGACACGACAAAGCTTTATATTTTAGCACCTTCAGTGGCTAAAGTGGCACTCTTCTGCTTTCTGCATAAGAAGCCTGGCATTTTCATTTTGCAGTGGGCCCTGCAAGTCACGCAGACAGCCGTGGGTATAGATTAGTCAGAGAAATGCTTGGTTTTGCCCTTGCAACTCACCACTAAATTTTGCATTCTGGGTTGATCCTGTGAATTGCACTTACAAGTCATTATAGCTAGAGAGAGGGAGAGGAGGCAGAGGAAGGAGGGTGAGAGAAAGAAAGAGGGGAGAGAGGAAGAAAGGGAGCGAGAGGGAGAAGAGAGACAGAGACAGAGACAGAGACCCTTTGCAATGTTCTTGCCTGCTTCAGAGAAGCTGCTCTAGGCCTCATGAGACTGAAAGTTCTTTTATGAGTTAAAGTGCCCCAAGTAAGGAGTCCCTTAGAAGTGAAATGTTGATTTCATAAAAGTCTTTTGTATGAATGTAATTTTATATACTTTATTAATAATATCATCGTTTGAGATTCCGAGCGTACAAAAACTAATTGCAAACAGAGATTGGTCCAGCTAGTAGTTCTCTCTTCTTGCTGCTTTCAAATAAAGGAAAATGCATCTAAAATGACTGAATCTGAAGAAACAATGTTAATCTTTATAATTTCTACATTTCCTTAAATACCTTTGGCATCTTTACATCAATATGTCATCCTATTTTTTGGTGATTACTTTTAGTAAGTCATCCTAATTTGGAGACATATAGACAGATGGACAGGTAGATATCCAAGTGTATATTACATATAAATGTAAAGCACAATGTTTATATGAAAATTCAGTTCCATACAATAAATCATCCAAAAGCAATGATATCTCTTAATAAGAACAATGATCATAAACCAATATGATTTAATTATTAAATCATTATGGCTTCCCTGTGTGGTAATGTGCCCAGCTGGAAGCAGTTTCATTCACTGCCAACCTATTTACAGGAGAACATCTGACACCTGCATGAGCCTCAATTTCTATAGCTTTTGCATTCCGGGGCCCCGGACTCCAGTGTTGAATCCATCACATTACCCCAATCAGCTGTGTCTTCTCAGCCTGTCAGGGCCATGAAACCCAATACTGATAAACAGAAGCATCTGATGCCCTTAGGTATGTTTTGCTAAAGTGAATGGATTAACAGTGTAAGCTGCATTTTTGGAGATGTCAACTAGCTAGAGTGATAGATGGAATCCCAACAGGGTCAACTCAATATCTTATCTCCTAAAGTGGATAAGTTGTATTAGCAAAGGTTAAAAAAAAAAAGCAGAGAGTCAAATCTTTCTGCTCCATTTTTAATAGGTTTTTCTTATGTTTTCTCTCATATCCCTTTATTTCATTTTTTTCCCATTGTGGTACCACTCACTGTTTCACATTTTAAAGCTTCTTTTTCTATCAGTATATTTATGGGCAGCATACCTCTCAGCATGATTATATGTTGGGGGTGGGGAGAGAAACTTAAAGTTTAACTACTGGGTTGGCAAAACTTAATAACTTTGATATAAGGCAATATTGGCCCAGGATTTAAGGAGTATGTTGGTAGTAGTGTAAAAAGGTGCAACTATTCTGGAGATCATTTTAGTTGTCTCAGTGCTTTAAATGCCATTTTTATAAAAAAAAATAGCATCTATGTGATTTATGGAAATAGCTCTAAGAGACACTAAGAAAAAAAAATAAGCAAACAAGCTGCTTGAGTACAATGTATGAAATGCTTTTTGTATAATATATAAATATAATACTCAGGGCTGGGGATTTAGCTCAGTGGTTCCACTGCCTGCCCCGTCTAACCTAATTGGAGCTTAGCAAAATGCTGACCATAGAACACACACAGTGCTCTCATTTCTAGCATAGGTGCCAAAGAACAGGTCACATTTAGTAGGTGATTAGCCCAAGTTCAATTACTTGACTTTTATAGTCATTAAATCATATCCTTACTGTAGCTATAGCTTTCCAAGAGAAATTAAATGCCTCCATGTTTCAGGACCATTTTATTATTGTAAAATTGCATTAATTAGATTTTTATTACAGAAAAGTATAGATAAGAAAACAAAATTAGTCCACTACCCCACGGCTCAGACCTGAAAAAAACAATATACTCAGAAGTAGCAAATTCACCCTGCATAGAGAGAAATGAAAAAAAGTAATCATCTCCCTGTCTCCACTCCTTTCTCCCTGACCTAGAACTTTCTTTCTACCACTTCTGCAAGGCTTGCTTCAGGTATTTACCATATTCAAGTCTCATCTTTTCTTTAGGGCTTTTCCTAGTACTTTTTAAAGAGGTGGGAAGTTATCCTTCCCACTTTCATGCTTTATAACTCACCATAACACCACAATTTATGATATTCCATATCTTACTTATTTTGTATAAATTCAGTGGCAGATATGTGATATATTCCATTATTTAAGCTCTGGTTTTCTTTCTCTTTCAGGATGAGGGACTCTGTTGGTTTCTCTCTCTTGTGCTCATGGCATAACAAGTGTAGTTTTGATGTCAGCACATTTTTCCTAATCAACTCTCAATCAGAATGCAGACATGAGGCTGTGGATGTGGCTCAGTGACATCTGCAAGGCCCTAGGTTTGATCCTTAGCAGCACACACACACCCCAAGAATGTGGATATGAACAAACTGAAAAGCCCTACCCAGGTTTATCCAAGTTCTATCAGTTTATCACTCTATCCTTTTAGCCCTCCCTACTCCCCCATCCAAGGAACTGTCTCATTTTATGGTTGTGGTATAAGCTGGAAGAGAGAAAATTAAACCTTATAATGACTAAGATTAAATGCCCTTGACCTTGAAAGTACTGAGCTACTATAATGTATTTTCCCTATAGTTTTTGTTGCTTTCTTTTAACTGCAGTGTTAAGTTCAAGTTCCATAATCATAACAGTATGGTTCAGGAACATTATCATATAGCAAATATTTTGGAAGCATTACTTTCCAAAGTTTTATGTAAATTGGAAGATTTTTATATTGACAATTACAAATGCTAACACTTTTTACACATCTGTGAATCAGACTCAGACATCCTTTCCTGTTGTTTCCATGTTTGCTCAGATTTAACAAAATGGGAGGCCTCTACCTTCCACTGTTAGTCTTCAAAGCCCAGAGCCCTTGCTTTTTCCCTTTCTCTATAGGAAATTTTGGTAAATTTGCTAACATAATGCAAAGCAATTAAGAGCATTTCATTCTTAAATTCAACATCTCATTGACTCCTTTGAAAAAATTAGCATTATTGAATTTCTTCATTTAGGGTCCCTCTGGCATACACTGGAATAGAAGTAGCACAACCAGCAGCAAATGATAAAGTTCAGCCCCAAAACATTAACAAAGGAAGAATCTAAAGTAGAACCCAATGGGCTTGAGAATCTGTGGACTGATGAACAGACTCAACTGTTTATTGAATAAAATCTGTTCACGTATTTCCTGTAGCTATATTCTACAGAGATATACCTGGGTTCCCCAAGGACTGACTAGGTATCTTTACCTGTTCTCTTTCTGTATGGGTGATTGTGATATTTTTTGCTAAGAAACTGACTATGTCAAGACATTCTATTGCATTATTTGTTTTGTCAAATAATAGGCTATTTGGTCTTTTGCATGGATTTACTGATGTATTAATATGGCTTTATTCTAGTACATGTTATGACCATTTTTTCAAAAACCAATGATATACATCCTAGCAACATTATTATAATTCTTGGCAAGTTTCACTTGCAATTACCTTATGTTTACATATTTGATTATTTTATTTGTCCTGTGCAGTAGTTTATAATTCTT